GCTTCTAAATTCCAAGGACATCTGGGATGTAGCTCAGTGGTAGAATGCTGGTCAATCATGTGCAAGGCCTTTGGTTAAGTCTCCCAAGGTTAGAAGGTGAAGATTTTGTGTGGTAGCATGAACCTTCAGTCAGCCCTTTAAAGGTGAGGGCAAAACATCTGACATCCAGCTCCTGCTTCACAGACAGACACTGTCTCAAAAAGTAAAAACAAAGCAAACAAAAACAATGGATAAGAGTAATTAATCCATCAAGAGGGAATTATCTGCTGGGTGTTGGTGGCACACACCTTTAATTTCAGCACTTGGGAGGTAGAGGCAGTCAGATCTTTGCAAGTTCAAGGCCAGCCAGAGCTACACAGAGAAACCCTGTCTTAAAAAATGAATTGTTCAACTCAGGAGAAAAGAAGCCAGAAGCTAAAGAAGATGCCGTACAGTGGAACAGACGTCTCCTGAAACACACGCCAGTCAGTCGCTGTGGGACCCGTGGAGGATATAGACTAGAACAATGACTCGTCAGCTTGGCTGCACATAGGAATCTTGTGGAACACCTTATAATGCTCTGGGGTGTCCACCAGAAAAGATTGCAAGCATGGATTTAAGCCAACAGAAAGTCTTTATTGGCCAACCGGTGACTGCACTGGGTATTTGAGGTCCCAATGTAGTACTAAGCCTTTCTCAGGGTGAGCTTTAAACAAAACCATGTGGGTTGACATACTTCAGTTTAAAAGGACAGTTAGCCAGAAGCAGAACTACAGAAACCAAAAAACAAGGTTAGTACAGCCTTTAGCTTAAGCTTGTCTCAACTAACTCCTATAAATTAAATCAACCCATTTACATTAATCTACATTCTGTCATGTAACATACCTCTCTTCCATCTTGCATCTCCTGCTTCCTCTGAGTCTGGCTGACCTCTCCTATACGCCTAGATTCCTCCTGCTCTTCCGTTCTCTCCCAAGAAATCCTGTCTACACCTCCTGCCTATCTATTGGCCATTCAGCTCTTTATTAAAGCAACCAGAAGGCTCCATGGCAAAGACACATATTCACAGTGAACAAATTTTCTGCAATACTTCCCTTTTTGTCTAAACAAAAAGGAAAAGATTTAACTCTAGCACAATAAAACTACAGATAATAAGAGCAATTATCGGGTAAGAATTACATTTACAATGTCTAATTCATTTGTATTTGGCAAATTTGGAAAAAATACTCTATTATCTACCTTATCTTGGTGAGTCTAAAGTTTTATACCTAATTTACTTTCTATTTTAACTTGTATTACCAACCCAAAGCTATCCTTTTAGACCTCAAAACATTTTCTTAGATAAACTTAAGCTTTTATGTTTCCAGCCTTAGCAACTTTATATCTCTCATGTAAGTTTTTTTCTGAATTAGTTATAAGGAAAACTGTATACTATCTAGTCTTCAATCCCCATCAGAGACCCAAGAAGGACAAACTATTACCTGATTAAATGGGAAGTGCAAACCAAACAATTTCCAAAACTATAAGAAATGTCAGAGACATTTGTTTGCCTGGACAGTCACCCAAGGTTCCTCTGTAATGTTGGGGCATCCATTTTTGGCTTATGGGCCTAGAATATCTAACAGACTTTTCTGTAAAGCAGAAAGTTTTTCAAGGACTGTCCTACCCTATCTTGGCAAAGTAGGGTGGTTGTTTATTTTGTGTCCTCCTTGTCCAGTGTGGATAACATACTGTCAAGCAGTTGAGGGCAATTTCATGACCAAATGGCTAGATTTTGCCACAAAGAAAATAAACTCCAATTAAAGGTTCTTCAATGCCCATCATCCCTTTTTTGAAGTAAATGGTGCTTCCAGGAGCAGGTATGTCTCACAAGAAAATCCTTATGTTACTAAAACATTTCAAATGCCATATTCTGCAGGTCTTTGAAGTGTTTGAAGATTACCTATATATCTAAAATATCTCTGTATGACCTTGAAAACATACCTAATATGACTATAAGTTTGATAGTTATAGATGACAAACTATTAACCTGTATTTCTTTATAATCCTAAATAGTTTTCAAGGACTAAAACTTTACATTACATTTTTAAATGAGCTGCATAGGTACAGTACCTTAAACAAGAATAGAAACATATACAATATAACAAAAGTAACCTTAAATTTGTATCAATATACCAAAAAAAACACACAAATGTAAAATATTTGAGATTAATCGTTGCTTTTTTCATTTAGATTGAATAATCTATCCTTTTATTCTATCTCCTACATCTCTTCTTTTTCTTTTCATAAAGAGATTTTTTAATCTAACCTTCCTTGCTTAGTTTCTTCTCTTACTATTACCAGTAACAATTTGCAACCAACTCCTCTAAACAATGACAAACATCCATAACCCACCAAACAACAAAAAACAATGTGGCCAGACTCCTGGGAATGTGGGCATCATGTTCTCTAGGCTGCTTCCTACAGTGACAGCATCCCTAGGGGACCCTGAGAAAATTGGGATAAAGGTCAAGTCCTGGGAGAACTAGCTGCATCACTTGTTCTGTCTCTGTGTGATGGGAAAGTGCAGGCATTACCTGGAGTCCTGGATAAAGTAATCTATGAGACTGGACCATGTCAGCTAGCAGCTTTGGCATTGAAACTGTTCTGGATGTAGAATTTTGAGGAAACTGCAACAGAGGCACTCTGAGGGGGGGGGATCACCTGGGCTATTTGTCTTTATTAGTGTCTGGTCTTTATTTATTTTTCTTTTCTGAAAACACACAAACTTTTTCTTTTACATTTTTATTCTTTTTTTTTTTAATTTTTTATTTTCCAATCCTAGTTCCCCCTCCATCTTCTCCTCCTCCCTCCTACTATCCCACCTCCCATCTGCTCCTCAGAGAGGGTAAGCCGCCCCCCCCCAGGATGTCAACTAAGTCTGTCCCATCATCTTGTTGAGGCAGAACCAAGCCTCTCTCCATAGAGAATGGGCTCCAAGAAGTCAGTTTATGCACAATAGTTAGATCTTGGTCCCACTACCAGTGGCTTCATATACTGCTCAAGCCACACCATTGTCACCTGTATTCAGGGGTCCTAGTTCAATCCTATACCAGTTCCCCGGTTGACAATGTGGAGTCAGTGACCTCTCACTAGCTCTGGTCAGCTGATTCTGTGGATTTTTCCCATCATGGTCTTGACTCCTTTGTTCATATTATTGCTCCTCCCACACCTCAATTGTATTCTGGAAGGCAAACACATAAACCTTTTTTAATTTAAATTAGAAACAATCTTATTTTATATATCAATCCCAGATCCCTCTCCTTCCCATCCTCCCATGTCCCCAAACACACAAACTTTAGGTAACATATATGTCTGTATTAACACAAGTGTGGAATGTGCCATGTGCTGAAGTTGATTTTTTGTTCTATGTTTGAGCAGGTAAAAGACAACTGTCATCTTTATAAGTCTGCTTGGATTGTATAACCAAACCTCCATCCATGACTTATCAAAGGGTGGCATGTAATAATAAGCCATGAGGACTCTGCAGTCAGCAAGATTTGTCACGTCTCATCCCGTCTCAGAGTTGCTCCCATGACTGAGGATCAGAATATACATCTTCTGCCTGTAGTCTTTCTTGGCTTTTTTCCTCCATGCCTTAGCCAAGATTTTCAGGAGGTCTCCCCCAGTCAAATCTAATTTTCATTCATTTAAAAGGAACACATAGTTTTTTGTTTGTTTCCTATGAAAACAAAAGCACAACCTCTCCACCAGTGCAACACATTTTCTGATTTCCACTATTAAGACATTCTTAAAATATATAGGTTGGTTTAATTGAACAGTTTCCATAATCCAATATCTCTTAGCAGTTATTGTTTTTGTTTAATAGCATTTTAAAAAATCAGAACAAATGAAAAAGACATATTGGAATGCTGGTGATGTAGAAATGTGATAACGTGCTTGCCTAGCGTGAGAACTACAAACAACACTCTTTCCCCTTACAAAAAAAAAAAAAAAAAAAAAAAAAGAAAGAAAGAAAGAAAGAAAGAAAGAAGAGGAAGAAAGGCTGGGAGATGGCTCAGTCAAGAAATGCTGCTTGACAAGCATGAGGACCTGAGTTCAGGTCTTGGTGTCCACTGTAAAAAGCTGGGCACAGCAACATGTACCTGTGACCTCAGGCTTGGGGAGCACACAGGGTCTGTGGCACTCACTGGACAACAAGTTTTGAAGAATCAGTGAGCTCAGAGAGAGAGAGAGAGAGAGAGAGAGAGAGAGAGAGAGAGAGAGAGAGAGAATAACTAGTAAGCCGGGAGCTAGAAAGTTGGCTCAGCAGTTAAGAGCATTTGATGTTCTTGTGCAGCAGACATGGGCTCCATTCCTAGCATCTGCAAAGTGGCTCACTCAACTTCCAAAATATCTGATGTCATCTTCTGACCTCCTCAAACACCAGGCATGCTTATGGCTCACATACATACAGGTGAACAAAACACATGAATACATAAAATAAAAAATAGGGTGAAAACTACATAGACATGACATAGACCTCTGGTCTTCACACACACATGCAAATGCTACATACAGGAATGCAAAGGTGGCTTAAACAATGCCAGGTAATAGTTATTCTTATAGTATTTACACTGTATTAGGTATCCGAAGTATGGAGATTCAAGGCCAACTGGGCCTGTCTCAACTGAAACAAAACAAAACAAGATGAGAAGTATGAAGGCAGCTGGATGAAGTAAGAACGGAGCAGGGGTCCAGACGGCAGCACAGGTTTGCAGAGTGCAGAGGCCCTGCTGTGGACAGGGACTGTGCACCCTCCCAGGAGCAGGCCGGAGGGTGCACCACGTGCTCTGGGAGCAGCTCAGCGGGTCTCTAGTGTTCTCCACCTCTGGGTGAATGTGTGGGCTCTGGGGTTGGCTATGGGGTCAGACTGACTTTAGAGTAGCTGCTCATTCGGGCTCCACCTTACTCAGGAAGCGCTCTTCACCACACTGACCACATCCCCAGATGGGGGCAGGAAGAGTTGGGGCACAGTCACCCAGCAACAGGTGGCAGCCTCCCTTCCGCCTTCTGAAGCCAACCCTCCAGGGCCTTTCAGAGAGCTACACACACCCTCCCAGCATGCACTGGGAAGAACGGCTCTGAAGACAGAGAAATCCAAGATTGACTCAAGGTAAAGGGTGAGGTGAGGGGTCCAGAAGCAGCTGCAAATGGGGGTAGGGGGTCTGAGGCAGAGATGTGGGCAAACACCAGCAAGAGAGGCAGACAGGCTAGTGACTGGGCAGAGCTGGACAAATTGGATAGGTGCCCAGGCCACAGACCTGGTACAGCCAAAAGCACAACAGGGCAAACAGCTGGGTCACCTCTAAGAAACACGTACACATAGGAGGGGACCATGGGAGGTTTTTTCTCCTTCCTGTCTCCCCACTTCTTGAGACTGAAGCAGACTTGAGAGCCCTAGACCTGTGGCCCCGGAGGCCTGGGAGGGGAAGTGAGGCCTGTGGCTGTGTCGGGGAGCCTCCCCTGGCTTGCTCTTGTCCTCTCTGGGTTCCCTTTGCTCCTCGCTGGCTTTGCCACCCATCCTCTATAAGCCAATTAGAAGAGGCAAACTGATAGTGGGACGCAGGAAAGGGAGATTTATTCAATGTGGCCACACTGGTGAGTGGGGCAAAGAGATCTGGCATGCGCTTGCAAAGTGTACACACACACACACACACACACACACACACACACACACACACGGTCTGTCTCTGAGGTTCTGAAGTGAAATTACAGTTTAAATAGGAGGCCAATGATTTGCAGTCCCAGCCAAGATGTGGTCTACCCACTGTCTCATCTTGTGAGGGGGTTGAGTTGTTAGAACTGTGTGGAATCTCTTTCTAGGACACAGGATCTGCTCACTGGTTCCCTTTCCTTCTCTTAGCAGAGACAGTCCCTGCTTCACTGTGTCTCTCAGATGCTTTCAACTCCAGGGCAGCCCTCAGGGCACACGGAGGGGCTCCCAGGGCCCACAGTGGAGACGGCCATGTGGGAAGCACTCCCCTGCGGTCCTTGTATTCCCATCATGTTGGGCCTGGCCTCTCTCACAGCCTTCTTCATCATAACTACTGCAGTACTGGCTGAACGCCTGTTCCGCCGCCCACACCCAGACCCCAGGCAGCATGCACCCACCCTCGTATGGCGTCCTGGAGGAGAGCTGTGGATTGAGCCCACAAGCAGTGCCCGGGAGCGCTCTGAGGACTGGTATGGCTCCTCCATGCCCCTGCTGATGGACAGAGCTCCAGATCCCCCGACTCCTGGGGGAACCTTGGAGGGCAGAGCAACTGCTCCGCCAGCCCCTTCAATCCCACACTCTTCTCCCAGCTCCTTGGTTCCCCAGACCCCACCAGAAGTCCCAGCCCAGAGCACCTTCTGGAGGCCTCAGACCCAAGAGGAGAGGCTCCATGACACAGGCCTAGTGACCTGGGTTGAGCCTGAAATGAGGCAAGAGGTTGGAATGCAGGTTGGGAGCCCCAAGTCCTGGAGGATGAGGCAAGGAAGCCTTGAGCCTGACTGGGGCCTCCAGCCTCGGGTCACCCTGGAGCAGATCTCTGCGTTCTGGAAAAGGGAAGGCCGGACCAGTGTTGGCCTCTGAATCCTTAGAGACTATAAGACTAGCCTCCCACCTCAGAGTGGCTGAAAGGGGTCAGCTCAGGCCTCAGGCCTGGATTCTACTCTAGATGTTTCTTCTAGGCCCTGCCTAGAGTCTAGGGCCTTTTGTGTGGAAATTTTAATCATTGGCACCTGGCTGGTGGGCAGGCTGAGAGTGTGGACAGGCTGTGCACCAAGGCTTGCACAAAAGTTCAGCTTTGGTTAAACTGTCCAGGTGTGGGCCTGAAGGCTTCAAGATGGCATGTCAGGGTACAAATTTACCTAAGACACCATATCAGAATGAAGAGGTCCTGTGTGGAATGCTGACCAACACGGAGGAACTGGTGATTATGTGTCAATCATGTGGGCAGGAGATGGCAGGAGACTTGCTCTCCAGAGACACAGACCCTATCTGTGCCCAGACAGTCTCACTGACCACTGCGAAGCCCTCCAGCAAAACAGAGGCCAAGTCCAGGAGGGGTCTTTGACTGCATACTAATGTTGTCTCTGTCACATGGAATTTGCTGAGCCAAGCTGGAGTGGCCGTCTCTTGACTAGGATTGGGACATACTCAAAACGCATCAACAGGCTCGTCTGTCCATTGGCTTATGGCTACACACATCCTAGAACATGAAGTTTTATTATTCAATGTTAAGGAAAGCCTAGACTAAAAAGAACTGAGTTTGTTCTATTATGGAATGAAGACTGTCGCAGAGAAGGGGAACTCCCCAAACTCTGCCATCTTTCCCTCTGGTTTGCTGGAGTGGTCCCGAGAATCAGGCTTGTTCCAAGACAGACTTACTTATAATGACCCATCCCATGGAAGCAGACCCCCCGACCCCCGGTCTCTGTGGACCCACCAGCAGTAAGAGAGCAATGGAGTTTCCAGTCCCTGGAAATCTGAGCTCCCAAACTTCAGTCAAGAATACGAAGATTTTGCCATATCTGTTTACCTTGTTTTATTACTTTATATTTTTACTGAAGTTGGTTCACTATTTGCTTAATAAATTTGTTTTAAAAGGAATCTTTTAGGAGAGTGGCCTCTATATATGGAAAATCAGTATTACTTTCCACAAGTAAAGAGTAGTATGAAAATCAACCAGGCATGCTAGTGCATGCCTTTAATCCCAGCACACAGGAAGCTGAGGCAGGAGGATCTCTGTGATTTACAGACTAGTCAACTGCTACATTGAGACCTAACTCAAAAGAAAACAAAAATATGAAAAATAAATACAGTGTAGACAATGAATTCCTAAGGAGACAGAGTTGCTTACTGGAAATATTGACCTCAAATTCCAGAAAGGAAAAAGAGGATGAGCCAGAAGTGGTGGCACATGCCAGAAATCCCAGCACTCTGGAGGCTGAGACAGGAGGATCCCAAGTTCAAGGCCAGCCTAGGCTACTTAGTTAGCCCCTACCTCAAAAGAAAGAGAGGAAGGACAAGAGGAAGGAAGAGAAGACAGAAGGGAGGGGTTTTTGCTCTGCCTCTGACTCATGAGCTGGGGGAGCAGTCGTTTTTCATTCACCATCAGCTAACAGGACGAATTTTGGTTCTACCTGTGAGGCATACACAGAAGGTACAGGGTTTAGAGCTTGTCCATGTGCATTTCAAGAACCCATCCAAGTGTTGAGGACAAACCCAGTCAGGGCTCCTGGATCCCGACCTGACCCTGTTATCTTTCACTTGGAGACTTCAGGAAAGTGGCCTCTGTTTGGAGTTTTTGTTTTTGGTTTTTTTTTGGGGGGGAGTTGTTTATTTTGTTTATTTGTTTATGTTGTTTTTGTCTTACAGTCTATCTGTACAATAAGAGAATCTGGAGGTGGACAGGAGCTTTGTTGGGAGTTCCCAGTTGTGAAGATGGAGGGGAAGATTCTATAACTGAAGGATGGTGGGATAGAAGGATGGATAATTGGATGGATGCAAGGAAGAATGGATAAATGGAAAGATGGGTGGGTGGGTGGAAGGAAGGAAGGATGAATAGATGGGATGGAAAGGTCTTGTTTTGCTTATACTTCTGTATCACTGTTCATCATCAAAGGAAGCCAGGGAAGGAACTCAAATAGGGCTGATGCAGAGGCCATGGATGGGAGCTGCTCCCCATGGTTTGTTCAACCTGCTTTCTTATAGCACATAGGACTGTCTACCCAGGGCTGGCCCCACCCACAAAGGGCTGGTCTCTGTGCATACCAATTACTTATTAAGAAAATGTACCACAAACAGGGTAGTGGTAGCATACGCCTTTAATCCTAGCGTTTGAGAGGCAGAGGCAGGAAGATCTCTGAGTTTGAAGCCCGCCTGGGCTACACAGAGAAACCCTGTTGGAAAAACCAAAAGAAAGGAAAAGGAAAAAGAAAATACACCACAGGCCAATCTGATGGGGGAATTTTCTTCTTCCAAAATGACTAGCTTGTGTCAAGTTGACAAAAAATCTTTGAGCACAAATGAATAGATGAGTGAGGACACTGTGTGGATATTTTTAGAGATTTATTTTATTTTTGATTTTGTGTATATTTGTGTGTCTGTGTGTTGGTTTGTGCATCCATGTGAACAAGAGGGAAGGTCATAACCTGAGCTGCAGCCCAGTAGGTGAGCGAAGGCTGTGTGGCTAGCTAGATAAACGCTTGCATGAATGCAAGGATGGATGCATATGACCTTCCTGAGGCAAAGTGCATTTACTGTCCCCAGAGCTGTCTTCATAGTCTAAAACCAAGGACATAGACTATGGCGTACAAAGAGCTCAGTGAAGGAGACATGAATGAGCATGGATTATTAGATGTGTCAGCTGTCATGAAAATGAAAAGAAGGCTCGGCAGTGATGAGCCAGTGTTGATTTAGCAGATGTTGAATAGCTCACAACTGCCTGTAACTCCAGTTCCAGGGGGTCTTCCACGGGCACCTGCACACACACACACACACACATACACACACACACACACACACACACACACACACACACAAAACCCACAGTTAATAAAGGAAAAGAGCCCCAGCTCAGTCTTGCTAGGCGTGAAAACGTTGATCCAGATGGGGTACTGTGAACTGCCTCCCGATTGTCTCTTTACCTGCAGTGTTCAGCATTCGCTGGTAACATCCCAGCAGAGCTGTGGGATGGCTCCTGGTGAGGCCACCAAGTTGTTCCCTTACCACAAAGTGGCCTAGCTGGGCCTCTGCTCAGGTTAAGACCCTTCCCTCTTTCTCACATGCACAAACCAAAACTGATACACGGCATACACAGTATTAAAATAAACCGAATCTTTAAAACTATAGACATGCTTCATACTCTTTCCTTAATTTTAAACTTCTTAAGTTTTTAGAGATTTATCTATTTTTATTTTCTGTGTATGTGTCTTGCCTGAGTGTATGCATACCATATACCTGGTCCTTAGACCTCCTAGAACTGGAGTTACTTATGGCTGTGAGCTGCCATGTGGGTGCTGGGAATCAAACCCAGGTCCTCTCAAGGAGCAGTCAGTGCTCTTAACCCTTAAACCATCTCTCCAACCCCCATCCCTTCTTTTTTGTTGTGTTTTTGAGGAGGTCTGGAACTCACAATCCTGTGTGCTGGGATTGGCATAACAGACTCCAACACACCTTCTTTTCCCCCTCTCCTTTATTTTAATTGTGGATTTTGATGACTCTCTAGTCAATGGGTCAATGGGTTTAGGAATTGAAAACACCGTAAACAAACAGCAATGCAGTGTCCATACTGCACCCTTATCCAGCGGCTTTGCCCTCTGGAATTCCAGGTCAAAGCTAATCGTATATGTTCACACCCCTTTGTGAGACAGACCATCTTCAAGCTTTGTAACTGGGAGCTGGGAGCTCAGCGTCATCAGGTCTGAATCAGAGGCGGGGCCACAAAGGCCAGGCTGGGGGGGGGGGCACTCTAGTTTGGATCTTAAATGTCTGGAAAAGGCTCAGGTGTTACTGGCTTGGTCTTCAGGGTTGGGAGGGCCTCACTGATGGTCCCTGGGGATGCTTCCTAGGAGGCAGCGCTAACCTGGCCCACTTGGTCTCTCTGCCGTACAGCTCCCACTCTATAAGTGATTTTGCTCTGCAGGCCCTCCAGCCTGCCATTAGGTGAATTGACCCCCATCTCAAGACCATCTCTTCCCTCAGCCTCCGCTGCCTATGATGCCTGTCCCTCCATCTACCCGCAGCATGTCTGCTTTCTTAGAGATTCATCTTGAATAGCCCTTCTCTGACTTAGAACACTTGGCCTGGGCAATTTCACCCATGACTTCAACGTCAACTGCCTCTTGCCTGAATGATCCCAGACTTCCTACCTCCAGCTGCAGCAGATACAGCCCCTCTAAATCTATTCTCCCATGATTCTGCAAGAGCAACAGTACAGTTTATAATGGGCTTCATGGTCACCCAGAAGAAAGGCCCTGCTTCCCAGAATCTATTGCAACTAAGAATGCCCATGTAACTGTGCTAGAATCCAGACATGGGTGAGACATCACAGATGAGGACAGCATCTTAGGGACAGCTGAGCATTTACAGAGGGGAGCTGGAGCGCCTGTGGAGCAGCACCAGCCCTGAACTGTCTACTTAGTGCTACTGCTCATCAAAAACTAACGTGGCTTTTGTAATCTGAAGTGAAACCCATGCTTTGACTAAAACGCTTCATGTTTCTGCAGCCACTTTCTCTTCCATGAGTGACCACACCCTCAGGTCACTCTTGAACTCAAGAGTCACCTAGAAACACCTAGCCACTTCCTCACAATTGTCTCAGGTGCACTGCTATTCCCACACACACTCGGAAGCTTGCTTCATGCCCCCGTCCACCAACCCAAACAGCCCATGTTCTGCCTACTTCCTTCCCTACCTCCCTCCTGCTTACCTTCCTGTCTCCCTCTGTTTTTCACATTGTCTCTTGCATTAGTCATTTGTCTCATTTTTGTGACAAAATACCAGACAGAAACTACTTAAGGAAGGAAGGGTTCATTTTGGCTCCAAGTTTGAAGGTGTGGCCTCAGGAGATGAAGCAACTGCTCACATTCAGCCCACAGTCAGTGTGTTGATTTGAATGAGACCGACCCCCCCCCCACACACACACACACAGGCTCACTTTCTAAATGTTTGTTCCTAGTAAGTGGACTTTTTAGGAAGGATTAGGAGGTGTGGTCTTGTTGGAGGTGGTGTGTCACTGGGGCTGGGTGATAAGATTTCAAAAGCCCATGCCATCCCCAGTTCTCTGTCTGTCTGTCTGTCTGTCTCCTGCTCTCTCCATTTTTTAGATGAGAGGTAAGCTCTCAGCTGCTGCTGCTGCCTCGGCACACGCCTGCCTCCCTGCCATCAGGGTCATGGCTCACCCTCAGAAACTGGAAGCAAGCCCCCAATTTAGATGCTTTCTTTTATAAGTTGCCTTATAAAAAACATGGCATCTCCTCACAGCCATAGAACAGTGACTGAGACAGTCAGGTAGCTGGGGTCAATCGGTGAAAGCTTGTACTTAGTTTGCTTTCCCCTTTTACTCAGCCCAGATGCTGTCCCCAGCGAGGGTGTGTCAGCCTACCTTACGCAACCCAGTCAGAAACTCCACTATAGACATGCCCAGGTGTTTATCTTCCAGGTGGTTCTAGATCCTGTCAAGTGATCAGTGTTCACCACTGCACATCTGAACGGAGCCTGCTAAAAACGTTCTGTAGCAGATCAGGAGAACACTGCATCCAACTTGCATTCCCCAGTAACTTTGTTACTGTTACCTTTCCTTTGACATGTTAGATCTGAGTTCTTCCTGAAGGGTTCTGAGCCTTTACAAAACCTAGTTATAAGAGAACTTGGCAAGCCAAGAGGTCTTGTGACTGGAGATTGCTTGGGCAAATGGTTCCTTCAAACAACTCCAGATAAGAGGTTTTGATAAGCGGAAATTGCTTGCTAAAGGTATAAATTGGGTAACAATGAAAAAAAAAAAAAAAAAAAAAAAAAAAAAAAAAACCTTTTTGTGAAGCAAGGGGCAGTTAGTTCACCAGAAACTGGCCCCTCTGCTGTTTTGGCTAAACCTAAAATTCAGACTG